ATACCTAGACGTCCTGCGCAGTAAAAGTCTGTTTGGGAAACACACATTTATGATGAAAAGATGGGAGACAGGAAGTAGCTCAGCTCTTTTTATATACAATGTTTATCTAGAGAGGTGTCCGACTGTAACTGCGTGACACTTTAACACTTGAGTCCTCGTGCAAAAGTGATAGCACGTTATCTAACCTCTGTGTGATGCATCATGTGCTGTTGGCCTTGGTGCTGTTATTGGCAGCAGTGTGTTTGTGTGTGTGAGCGTGTCACACTGGCTCTATTTGTTCAGCTCTCAGTTTGTGCTTGCCCTCTCTCCGGTGATTTCCTGCTGCCTTCAGGAAGCAGCTTTCAGGACGGCCTGATGGGTTTCCTGGCAGGCGCCCCCCCTCCCCCCCCGAACTGGGAGACAATAGGAGGTCTCCCACAGGGGCATGAAGGGGTTGTGTGTGTGTGTGTATGTAGTGATGAGGGGGATTTATTGAGGGAGTAGTGGGCTTCCCTTCAGGAAACTGCAGATTTATATCCAAGCAGCAGAGAGGCCCTCGTGTGTGTCTCTTGTGTTTGTGTGCTTGTATATCTGTCTATTAGGCCTAAATGTCCTCACAAGGATAAAGGCATGATGATACAAATGTTCTTCTTGCCTCCACAAGACATTAAGTTCTGGATTAGGAGCTTTAAGGTTTTGGTTAAATGAGAAAGTGGAAGTTTGTTAACTTTCGTGTTGAGATGCTGTTTCCTGTGTTCAGAGCTCTTTCTTCACTACAGATATAGCGGCTAAAGAACAATCTCACCGCAGTGAGCAGTTTTCAGTTTGGGTTTATATATATTTATATTCTTTCTTGAAATTGGAAATGGAAAATTCTGACTGAAGGCACATTAAGTAGAGGCTTTTCTGCTGTTGATTTTTAGGGGAGTCAAAATGTTGCAATTAGCTGAAAGTCTGTGATAGGGTTAAAGTTGTAAGACCAAAACACGGAGAGTACATCATAGGGTAGCCTTACCCAAAAGTATATCCTGCCTATCTCATCTATCTTATTCAATATGTGACCATATTCTATAAAACAAACTTCATGCTGATTGGGAGAAGACTTAAAACCACTGATTTAGACCTTAAAGTGCAAGTGAGATGTTTGGTATTTTCGCATACAGTAGACTTCTAGGAAACCAGAGTTGATGTGAGATTAGAGTTTGGGAAAACACATTTAAGAAATACAAATGTTTTATTATCAGTCAAAGTCCACTTTAGTTGATGAATGGTTGGTTCGATTCAGAAAAAGACAATGGGTTTTACTCAAAATGAAATCAGTGTGTGGCATATGGAGAAGTTTTTGTGTGTGTACGAGTTTTTTTTTCTCATGTAAAGCAGTCGGTTAGCAAAAACTGATGACTTTCCTTCTCAGGGAAAGGGCGTCAGGCGGTGGGGGTGAGGTCACTGTTTAAAAACATGGCCCCAAAGCCTCGACCCAGCACAACATTTCCTCTTCCACTGAAAGCAGCAGGACAGCTCGATGTTCTCTTCTCCATGAGTCGGCTCAACTCGTCACATGTTCCTACTGAACCTTTCAAGCAGTAACATCCTGAAGTAGTGTTTATTCCACTTCGTTTGACAGAGCCCTGACAGAGGTTTATTTTACAATTTTAGTTGTGACTGTTGCATTCAAAAGTGGATTGCAGTGTTGCATTCAAAGTGAAAACTGTCATGTAATTTGTAGCCATGGGAAAATACAGACGTCTAAAGCTTTCTGATGAGTCTAAAGGACAATGACCTTTTTCTGTTCACAGTAAAAAACGTTAGGCGTTTTTTTTACTCCCTAATATTTGTAGCCTTCAACATAAACTTTATAATCTCTGACTAAAGAATACGTGTGTTGCTTTGAGGACTTATCTACATGCGTTTATGGGCATTTTTGTTAAATTGTTCTTGGCTTGTGCATGTGTCGTTATTATTGAGTTGGAACTTGTGTGTGTGTGTGTGTGTGTGTGTGTGTGTGTGTGTGTGTGTGTGTGTGTGTGTGTGTGTGTGTGTGTGTGTGTGTGTGTGTGTATTTCAGCTGATCAGGACTGGGGGGTTGAAGAGAGAAGGAATGCAGCTTGAAGTCTGTAATTTGCTGACTTTCATCAAATCGGAGAGAAAAACAGCAACACTTGAGATGTGTCTGTGTGTTTGTGTGTGTGTGAGAGAAAATAAGTGGGTGAGAGGAGAAATGAGTCATGTGAGGATAGGAGGGTAGAGATGAAGAGAGTAAATAGGGGGGAAAGAAAGAGAGGAGAAAACATAAAAAATGTTTCATCGAAGGATAATGAAGAGGATTGAAAAAAGAATAAACGTGTGGAGAGGGAAAGCCTCAACTGTCTGGGGTTAATTTGGTTTGTTTAACAGTCCAACTAACTTTCAACACACAGTTTCATGAATAATACTCTACAGAAAATGATCCACAGCCCTTGCTGCTGTCATTCCTCTGGTTTAAAAAACATGTTTGATACCCATGGACTATACAGGACTGTCTCAGAAAATTAGAATATTGTGATAAAGTTCTTTATTTTCTGTAATGCAATTAAAAAAACAAAAATGTCATACATTCTGGATTCATTACAAATCAACTGAAATATTGCAAGCCTTTTATTATTTTAATATTGCTGATTATGGCGTACAGCTTAAGAAAACTCAAATATCCTATCTCTAAATATTAGAATATCATGAAAAAGTATACTAGTAGGGTGTTCAACGAATCACTTGAATCGTCTAATTAACTCGAAACACCTGCAAGGGTTTCCTGAGCCTTGAAAAACACTCAGCTTGGTTCAGTAAACTAAATCACAAGTATGGGGAAGACTGCTGATCTGACTGCTGTCCAGAGGACCGTCATTGACACCCTCCATCAGGAGGGTAAGACACAAAAAGAAATTTCTCAAAGAGCAAGCTGTTCACAGAGTGCAGTTTCAAAGCACATCCACAAAAAGTCTGTTGGAAGGGGGAAATGTGGCAGGAAACGCTGCACAACCAAGAGAGATGACCGCAGCCTTAACAGCATTGTGAAGAAGAGTCGCTTCCAGAATTTGGGGGAGCTTCAAAGACAGTGGACTGAAGCTGGAGTCCAGGTATCAAAAGTCACTGTTCACAGACGTGTCCGGGAAATGGGCTACAATAGCCGTATTCCCATGGTCAAGCCACTTCTGAACTCAAGACAACGGAAGAGGCGTCTGACTTGGGCTAAGGAAAAGAAGCACTGGACAGTTGCACAGTGGTCCAAAGTCCTCTTTTCAGACGAAAGCAAGTTTTGTATTTCATTTGGAAGTCAAGGCGCCAGAGTCTGGAGAAAGGCTGGAGAGGAGCAAAATCCAAGTTGCTTGAAATCCAGTGTGAAGTTCCCACAGTCAGCGATGGTTTGGGGAGCCTTTTCAGCTGCTGGTGTTGGTCCACTGTGTTTCATCAAGCCCAGAGTAAATGCAGCTGTGTACCAAGAGA